TCGCCATGGTGTCTTTTTATTCATAAGAATCCAGGTTAATAAGGACGTAGACATATTATGCGTGTCGTAATTAGAATCCACGCCATATAGAATGTAGGTGGGTTGTTTTTTTTAACGAAACAGACACAAGCTTTGATCTCACAGTGAAAGCGTCTCATTTTGTGGAATCTTTGAAAGCACTTAACCGGTAGGTACCACTTACAGAAAAACTGGCATCACATACAAGTAGAAGAGTTTACAGCAGACTAAAGAGTGCTGATCAATATATTTATTTCACAACGTCCTTTTAATGTTTAAAAATGATTAAATTCAGTATTGTGGGAATGGGGAGGACGTATAGTCAGTCAGTAAAGCATTCACTCGATCTAGTCAGTTACTCAATGGATTGCAGGCCCGTAGCCAGCAATTTCAAAAGGGGGGGGGTTCTTTTTTAGAAAAAGTGGACCTTTTTCCATTAAAACTTCATGTACCTAGATCAAATTTTACCCAGAGTGGACCTTTTCCCATTAAAGGGGGCAGTTCTTTCGAACCCCCCCCCCCCCCCGGCTACGGGCCTGGATTGAAAGACTATATATCAAGATTTTTGCATGATTCCTGCATCCCCTGTTTTACTACCAATCAATCAATGTTTTCTTTTAAGCCTGTAGACAACTCCGACTACCTACTTCCTAGACTCTTTTCGTGTGCCTCGTTGAAACGTAACCGTTTAAGCAACCACTGATGGCAAATAACATTATTCGCCCACTAGGACATGACGAAACCAACTGCGCTTTGATGCATGAGGCAAAAGTCTCCACAATGGCGTTTACCACGTGGATCACCTCGAAAAGGTTGATAACAGATGATGTCTGGGTACAGTGTCTCGGGCAACTGCAAAGAGACATTCCGCACCTTCGACTGGCCATAGTTTAGCAGGAAGGGAAGAGGCACTTCAAGTATATGGACGTCCCTCGTGTAGACTACGAGGCTGTTGAAGGGACGGCGGAAGATGACTGGGAGAAGGTCCACGAGGATATGATGCCCGTGTTGTTTGACACAGCCAATGGTCCGCTTTGGAGGGTGAGAGTAGTGCGCATGCCCAAACAAAATGCTGACTCAACAATGGAGGGATACGTCGTAAATGATAACGACCTCTTCAACAGCGTAGTCGTGTTTGGGATCCATCACTCTATCATGGATGGAACTTCTAAGCTATTAATGTTACGCAGACTAATTGATATCCTAAACGCCGCCATGTTGGGTGTGTCTTGTGAGGATGGCGATGCCGTGATGCTCCAGCCAGCTTTGGAAGATCTCTTGCCACAAGATGAAATGGCATTTAGTTGGCGAGATTATCTCCATGTAGTAAAGGCAAAGTTTATACAGTGGTTTCCCAGCAAGAGTCTTTATATGAAGCGATTCCCGCCACCGGTTGCAATAGATGATGACACGTACACAAAGACAGTAGCAGTTGAATTTTCAATTTCAGAAACGGATAGAATTCTAGCGAAATGTAAGGAACATTGGACAACTGTCCATGGTGCCTTCTTTGCTGCTGCATCCATGGCCATAGCAAATATGATAAATGATGGAAAACCACCCAGCGTTTTGAACATAGGTTCTATTCACGCTGTTAACATGCGGCGTTTTCTTCCACCGGAATTAAACGCTGCCTTTGGCATTTTAAATTGGGTACCTGCTGTCACCATAATGACCCCGACAACTGTCACGTATTCCGCCTTCTGGAAACTTGCAAAGGATGCAACCCAAATTGTTCACTCCGCACTTAGAAATGGAGAGGTCACGCAGTCTTATAAAATAGATAAATACATTGGTGACGACAGAGTAAAACGCATCCTAGCTAATCCGGATTGTACAATGGAATTCATGACGTCCAATATTGGTGATTGCGACAAGTTATGTCCTCCTGGTAGATACGACGACGAGGTCCACGCTACAAGAATTGTCTCGTCCACCGCATCGCGTAGGTATCCTGCGCCTTTTGTGCACTATCTGCACAAATTCCGAGGTCGATTCTGCTACAATCTAGACTACTGCACCAACAGGGTGAGAGGTACGAACGCCAAAAAATACGCTGAACTGACTGTGGAGTTGATGAAGATGGCAGCAGGAGACGTATAGACATAGAGATAATTGAAATTAAAAGGTTGTCTGTTTTGCCCTATTTTTATTTGAGATAAAATCTATTAAGCAACTGAGTCAAAATAGGCCTTAGACAGCATGGGGCAGAGAAGGACGAAAATGCAGCTTAAGGGGTGTACTAGTATGTGAGACTGGCTTCTGGTACAATATATCGTCGTGGCGTGCAAAACGAACAATAGCAAAATTTCAAAAACAATAAAAGAACTTCCAAAATCAACAGATGGGTGCATCAACACGCACACATTCACACACACACACACACACACACACACACACACACACTGTTTTCTATTGGGGAGCTGAAACACACTCTGGCGGCGGTCATGTTGAGAGACCGCTTAGAACAAAAGAAATTATTATCGTACGTCTATAAGGCCACGTAAGATAGCTTATACCATACATATCTTTAAATACTTTACACATTTTATATTATAGAATGCGAAAAACATAACATAATTTGTCAGGGAGTGACCAGCAAACACTGAACGCTTTCATAACGTTACCATAAAGCATATATAATAAAAAAAAACATTACGGCAACGTTAAAATAAATTTATAAAAAGTTCTGTCTTTTTTGGGGGAGATAACTGTTTAAATGAACATTTTGAATTAGCAAACCTCTTTTGCTACATGCCAAGTAGCACTAGTACCCAACAGTAATGGAAATCTGGACATTGATACCTTATACTGATTGAACAAAATCAAAGACCTGCATCCTGCATCACATTACACATGTTAAGGTGAAGGTGTTAACTGTGTGAATGGGATGATCTCTATAATTTATCTCATGTAATCAAGAGCTTAGCAATGATGATTTCATGTATTATCCATGCAATAAGCGTTGTCCAGTGATTAAAAAATGACCATGTGTGATGAAATGCACACGATATCCTTATATTTTCGAACACGGGGCTCTTTTTATTAATTTTACATATAGGTGAAATTTGTTGAAAAAGTCAGTTTAGGATAGGGTCAGGTGCCAAGACGACGGATGAGAAGTTTATGAAATTATTGACATAAAGAACAAGGTAAACACTATGGAAATTGTAAATTATTTAATGAAAATAAACATATATTCGGAAAACTTGACTTATTTCATCACCAAAGAGTTTACGCAGCCGAAAACCTGTGTATCAACAGTTAACTTATAGAATCATTCTGAAACATTCATGAAGTCTTTATTAAGATCGTTGCTGAGGTAATTTTTTCATTTTGTTTTTAACTTATCACTATTAGCCTACTTTGCCTACCCAGTATGTCGTCATCAGGATTGTAAACTGTTGTTAACTATTGAAAGAAAATGAAAATTTAGGGGAATTTAATATATATATATGAATGCAGCAAGCCCAGTAATTGGGAGGTTTTTTAATTCCTCGAAAAGTGAAAGGAAGTGACAATGAGCCTGTGTTTAGGTCTTGTCGGTGACTTCATGTAGAAGACCGTGAGGCATTTCAAGAGCGAAATCTGCACAGAAAAAGTAAATAAAAATGACACTGTTATATTTCCATTCCCTTATCGTTAAAAAGTAAACAAAGGAAAGGCAACAAAATCAAGAATCTATCACTCTGACTTTCATGTTATATTAAAAATTTCACTGCTCAAAATTGCAAAGCTCGCCGCAGCATAGAATCCTGACACCACCGATAAAATATCTGTTGTGGAACGCTTTACTATAATTACAAAAATAGTAGTAATAATAAAATAGTGAATGCTCCTTTGAAAGGTTCCCTTCTTTGTGTGTGTTACTCGTGAAAGCCACTTTTTATTTCCCAAGATGCGTGAACCCGTTCGGGGTCATGCCGATACTCCCCCGCACCCGCAGAAAAGAAGGTTGGAGGAAAAAGACAGAAAACGAACCGCTTTAGCACTTCTTTTTTATTACTTAATAATTTTACGAATTCATCGTTGCCAAAACAAAAAGACATAGCTACGTANTATCGGTGCGGGGGAGTATAGGTACAGGTACGTAACCAAACGTTCAGCGTGATTGGAGATGCAGCCCAATTCTTTGTCTCGTGAATGCAGCTAGTCCGAAGGCTCATTGGTCCGAATGTTCACTACAGAACCTTCGGACCAATGAACCCTTGATTAAAAAACCGATAAAAATGTTACCGTTTTTCGGACCAATGAACCTTCGGACCAACGAAGCTTCGGACTATCGAGACGCCCCCTTTTTATGCCTCGTCTTTCGTAAACTGAAGTCATTATGTTCGGTGTTTCGTGCTTTTCAATGAAATGTGAATAAAATTTTATTTGGTGTAATTTGTGATTAGATAAATTTATTTTCCGTATCCCCAAACTATGATCACGAACTCCCATGGGCCTGGGACCCTGTGTCACCTGGCAGATTTCATGACTATACACAGTCACCACAATGCCTTTGAAAGATCCCACCTTAGTGTGTGAAGTGGCTGTCCACAGATGTATTCAAGAATTTAATTAGTAAATATCGAGAACAAATCAAGACTTTGTTTTTAAAGAAAATTTTCATTTTATTTGCTCCTTCATGTTGTCTACAAGAATGGAGAACATTGAGATGACTAAAGATTTGAAGTAGGCTGCTGAGGAAATGTCTGCAATGATTTAGTTAACTGAGAAATCTGAAGAACAGGCCTAAGACAATCTTCCAGATTGTGACTAAGTCCCAGCAGTAAAACTAATTGGTGGTAGCTACAAACAACAAATTACCTTTGTCTTTGGACCAATTTACTGTATCTTTGACTGATTCAAGTCACTTTCAAGAAACAATGTAACATGATAACTCTTTGAATATCATAAGGAAAACATACTTACAAGAATTTATCTAAGAAATTAATTGGACCAAATTCACAACCTACACAAATATTTATGAAATCACGTTTTTTTTTTTCAATTTGTGAATACTTCTTCACTTTATCTGTGACTGATTCAAGTAACCTTTATGAAACAAAACAGTTTGCAAATCATAAGCAAGATGTGCTTACATATCAAAGTTTGTTCTAAGACATGAATTAATGACTGAAAAAAGTGTTCACTAGACACTCAACATAAATAATTCTAAAATGCTGAACTATTTGAACATTTGTGAAGACTTCTTCACTTTTCTATAAACACTATCAACAATTTATCTCATTAATTACAGACAGAACCAGTATTCACTGGAATCTCAACTCGAAATCAACATATATTTGTAAAAAGAAATAACTGATCGTAGTAACATCTGTGAAACATGCTTTGAACAATCAACCAGAAAGTGAATTCTGTTTTAAATACAAGTTGCAAAACAAACTGATGATGCTTGCTAATAAAAAGAACAAATTACCTTTAACTTTAGTGTATTATCTACAACTGTTTCAGAAGACCCGATTTCCCTTCAAGATGTGCACTTACCAGAGAAAACTTGTTCTGAACATCTAGTAAAACAACTGAACACAAGTCATATGAAAAAGGCATTCATTTCAAAGTCAGATCAATTAAAAGCACTCAGTAACAAGAATGCTGTAATTACAGACCAAGAACTAGCATTCATCTGATGCTGAACTGAAACCATAAAATATTTGTAAATCAAATGTCTGATTTAAAATCTGTGAAACTTTCACATTTCTTTCATCACAGTCCAGATAATGAATATGGCACTAATTACATAATGAGAGCTAGCGTTCACTAGATCCTCAACTTAATAAAATTTGTTTAAAAAAACTGTTCTCACATTTGTGAAGACTCCTTCACTTGGAACAAAACGAGTGTTCTTGACAAGCAATCCTCAAAGAAACAACAAGTGAATCCTCCTTACTCCTGTTCACTGACTTGGTAACCAATGTATTTTTCTGATCTCTGTTTCTTGGTGATCGGCTGCACCGGGCCGCTAGAGGGCCCTGGAACCTGTGGCAGAACCACGACGGTGTTGTCAGCGGGAGGTCGTGAGGCAGGTGGGAGACCTTTCTCCAAGGTGTTGATTCTTTCATTCATGGCAACAAAAATGCCCTGCATCTGAAATAATAGTCAGACAAGAAATATTTTATGCATTGCATTGCCTTAAATGTATATTAACTTTACAGCATCTCTTATATACATATCAAACAAAGTTATTCTTGACAAAGGAGAGGATATTCATAAAACACATCTCAATCCACCACGTATGGACTTTCATAGTAATATATGCATATTACTAAATGTAAGACAACTATCCAATTTTATAGAGATATATTTGAAAACAATAAGAAACAACGCACTGAATTCCTTCATAAATCAATATATAATGACAGATAGGTATAAGAACCACAAAAAGCTACAGCTGAAGACCCACAGATTGCTTACACATGTAGTTACACAAAAGAAGCACCTTTTTCCGTCAAGATGCATGCTCACCTTCTGGAACTCCATGACCACATCTCTGTAAGACGGCACTGGAGAGTTGTCCACAGGTTTGTCTGGTAGAGGTGTCACCTTGCCACTGGCCAATTCATAACTAACAAAAAACAATATCATCAAAATGTAATTTTTTATTTTCATTTTTTTTAATTTTATTTACTTATTTATTTATTTTATTTTTTATTTTTTGCCTAGCAGTAAAGTTGTAAAGATGATTCACTTTATGTCTCAATGACCAAAAAGGCATGGAGAAACATTGCTCTTACATGATCTATGTACAGAATCCACTTCACTTCTTGTAATTCATTTTATCTCCCATCTGCGTATGTTTTTATGTCCCTTTCCACAGGATAAGCCACACTCTCATGTTAACTTGGGGACCATTCCCAGACCTCAACATGCTAACTGTGGATCGATCTATCTCCAAGAAGATTCTCGCTAAATTGCAATCAACTTAAGAGGTTTAAATGTCTGTCACGCCTACTGAAGCTGCTAAGGGGTAATTAATTATCGTTTAGCAGCTTTAGTAGGCATGCCAGACATTTAAGCCACTGAAGCTGAAAGCAATATAGCAAGAAACCCCTCGAAAATTGATAGTTTCAATGGGATTGAGCCAGGTGCAAAGTACGACCAACTAATCTTGAAGTAGACCGAGGAAACTGATCTTAGGGATCATTCCCACAGATATTTGGATCGATTTATCTCCCTTGGGAGTCTCACTAAATTGCTGTCAACCTGACCGGCTTAAATGTCTGTTACACCTAGTAAAGCTGTTAGGGGGTAATAATCTTTATCCCCTAGCTGATTCAGTAGGCCAGATGGATCGATCTAGACACGGGAACCCAGTCTTAGAACTGTAGCAACAATGAGCAGGCACGTAGGGCTCAAAAAAAGTAAAATTGAAATTCTTTTTTAAATTCATTCCAATGTATCAAAAATCAAAGTAAAAAAAATCTTACAGAGGCAAATATATAAGCACTTGTGGCTAAAAAAAGCTACAGATAACTGGCTGAGGTGGGGGTGGGGGTGCTGCAGCCCTTAATATCCCCTCATTGAAAGTTGTGAGCTAGGTCAGATGTCAGACGTAATCTCAACAACAATATCTAAGACAAGCAATTCCAGACGCCGTCAAATGTCATCTCAACCACAATATCTAAGACAAGCAATTTCAGACACCAGTCAAATGTCATCTCAACAACAATATCTAAGACTAACAATTTCAGACACCAGTCAAATGTCATCTCAACAACAATACCCAAGACAAGCAATTTCAGACACCAGTCAAATGTCATCTCAACAACAATATCTAAGACAAGCAATTTCAGACACCAGTCAAAAGTCATCTCAACAACAATATCTAAGACTAACAATTTCAGACACCAGTCAAAAGTCATCTCAAAACACTACAAAAAACAAACAATTTCAGACACCAGTCACCTCTACAACAAAATGACACTTAATTGGCTTTAGTTCATATATGCCTCCTTTAAAGTTCTGCTTACTTTGTGACTTTGAAGACATCAAAACTAAATGTCTCCCTGAGAAAGTCCAGCTCCTTGGGGGTTGTCTTGTACACTTGACCAAGGATCCTCTTGCACTTCAGACACCTGGCCCTCACATAGGTGCTGGAAATAAAATATGCAATGAAAATATATCTTTATAGATTGCAAACATGAACAGAAAAAAAATTACAGTATCCGTCATTTTGGCTCAGAATAAGGTCTTGAAACAATATTCCAACTTACATGTACAAGAAAAAAACTAAGGTTTGCTTTTAAATTATATATCCTGAATATGCACAAAAACAATGACTGATTCCTAATAAAAACTTTAGAAATATCAGCTGACCTTCCTACATCTTCACCATCTGTAGAAGACACCAGATTGTTCCCCTGGTAGACATTGTTGGCAGCTGGAATGTTAGGACAATATTGATAATATCACTGTGCCACGTTGCAATTGACTTATTATGGCCTTTTCACAAACACCAGGAATTATTCCTACTTCTATGAGCTCATTTCCAATGAAACGATCTGTCAACCTGATTGCATTCAGCGAGAGTAACTACGGAGTTGGATCGATGCACGTGGAACTAGATTCATTGGGAATGAGACCCAAATCTTTGATCATAATACAATTAACAATTCCCATTTCCAGGCGACTTTTGATTAAATCAAAATATTACACTGCGGGGAACCCTAAATTTAAGAAATCACTGTAAACTGACGATGAAAAAGAAACGTCTGACAACTGCTAAGTGAAAAAAAACTGAAAACTGCAAACTTTACCTGCCAGAACCATGATCCCAATATCACGGTGCGTTCCAATGTAAGAGGACGAGTCTCCAATGATTGCATTGCACCCTGAACACTGGAATACAATGAGGTCCGAATTTCTTGCTCCTCCTGAGGGTTGTTGCGAAGTGCTGGCAGTGCTCTCACTATCCATGTTGACCACGTGCTTGAAACTACTGCGACGGTCCCGCTTTCCTCTGAATGTTGACTGCTCAATGAATGTTTCGAATTTTTGATCAGTTGAATAATAGTAAAACTGTGCTTATGAACAAAACACTAACTTTTTTCCATTAATGTAATATAATTTTATCATCATATTGGTATGTTAGATTGAACATTTGAATCAGTCCAAATAGAAATATTTAATCGAGACTAAAATTCTAACGAAATATTTAGAAAATGTGCCGGATGTGCGCAGTGTAAAATGCGTACTTGTATGTGGCCAGTTTGTTGACGGAAGAAGTGACACTACACGTTTTTGACGGAGGGCATACAAAGTAGGCTAGGATTTTCTGTTAAAGTTGAATGATGTACTGTCATATATTCATTGAATCAATATACTTCTGTTCATACGTTATTGTCGAATTAGTTAAACCTTAATTTCATTGTTTATTTTAGTTTTTTTAGAGCGCATATCATCGAGTCTTCATGGCGCTCAGTGTGAAAATGAAATATTGAATGGAGCTTCAGAAACGGCACTTTTAGAGCTATCATCTGTCACGTTAGATCTGTCTTTCACACTAACAAATTGGTCTAACACGACCGTTATGTTTCCGTATTGGCATGCAGGTTTGGTTCTCCAGAATTATCACTAGTAAAAAACATTACTTATTAATATTGACAGTTGGCAAAGAGGGAGATTTGCTAATGAACTCCGTGGCTCCCACAAAAAAATTTTTTCCTTTCAGAAAAGTTTTTTTTTTTTGTGAAATTTAATTTTTTCCACATAATTATTGGCAATTTAAGGTGAGATTTTAAACTTCCGTGGGCTTGAAGACCTTTTTGTTAGACACATTTTCTGAGTATTCATGATACTTCTGTTATATCATTTTAAAAAATGGGGGTCATTATGCTGTTAAGCATTACGTAATATTACATGAAAATCGAAGAAAACCCTATTTTGGGCACTTCCGCCATTATGATCACTGAAGGAAAACCATGTTACCTATGATTCTCAAACCTACGGAAAAGATTCATGGGACTGAAATGTAGCTTGAGTTGTAAAAGCAGTATGAATGCATCCTTTTTTCTGGAAGCTCTTCAGTTCTTTGTGAAATTTTTATTTTTCACATATATTGGCATGTTCATTGTGGGACTCCCATGGGCATAAAGCAGTACGGTACCTGTATGTACTAGTACATTTTCTCAATGTCAGCATTATTTATAGTAGATAATTAAAATTTTGTGGTGATTATTTTGTTAATCATTATATAATATTGCATCAAATTGTCAAAAAACCTATTTTGTGCACTGTTGCCACAAATGCTATGAAAAGGAAACTGTATTTTGTAACTTAAAAGAATTTTTAGGATTGACACAGCTCGAATTAGAAAACAAGCTTGATTGTATTATTATTTTTCTTGAATGAAAGATTTTTTTTTTTTTTTTTTTTTTGAAATATTTGTTTTTCAATATCTAGCATTTTCAAAGTGTGAACTTGAACTTTCATCAGCCTGAAGCTGTAATATGCTAGTTACCCATTTTACTTACATCCATATTACCTGTTTTGCATGATTAAAATTTGGTGTTGATTTTACTGTTAAGTGTAATGTAAGGCCGCATTCAGAACAGTGGACTTACTAGTCCCAGGGTCAAATATGGCCGACCCACTTGGATACCTCCCACAGGGTATCTATTCAGTGTCTGTTAATGGATTAGATGGCAAGCTTTTTTAGTAGGTTGCAGTATTTTACCTGCAGATTAGTATATAACATATATACATTAACTGTAACAGTTTCAATTTACAATAAGGTATGCCTTTTTTTATCATTCCAGATGCAACCAACCATGGACATGTAACAAACATTGACTCTCATTGCTGTTTTCTCCTCCAACAGTGAAGATTTCCTCTTCNTTGGCTTTAGTTCATATATGCCTCCTTTAAAGTTCTGCTTACTTTGTGACTTTGAAGACATCAAAACTAAATGTCTCCCTGAGAAAGTCCAGCTCCTTGGGTGTTGTCTTGTACACTTGACCAAGGATCCTCTTGCACTTCAGACACCTGGCCCTCACATAGGTGCTGGAAATAAAATATGCAATGAAAATACATCTTTATAGATTGCAAACATGAACAGAAAAAAAAATTACAGTATCCATCATTTTGGCTCAGAATAAGGTCTTGAAACAATATTCCAATTTACATGTACAAGAAAAATCTAAGGTTTGCTTTTAAATTCTATATCCTGAAAATGCACAAAAACACTGACTGATTCCTTATAAAAACTATAGAAATATCAGCTGACCTTCCTACATCTTCACCATCTGTAGAAGACACCAGATTGTTCCCCTGGTAGACATTGTTGGCAGCTGGAATGTTAGGACAATATTGATAATATCACTGTGCCACGTTGTAATTGACTTATTATGACCTTTTCACAAACACCAGGAATTATTCTTACTTCTATGAGCTCATTCCCAATGAAACTATCTGTCAAACTGATTGCATTCAGCGAGAGTAACTACGGAGTTGGATCGATGCACGTGGAAAAAGATTCATTGGGTATGAGACCCAAATCTTTGATCATAATACAATTAACAATTCCCATTTCCAGGCGACTTTTGAATGAATCAAATTATTACATTGCGGAGAACCCTAAATTAAAGAAATCTCTAAGAAATCTCTGTAAACTTATGATGAAAAAGAAACGTCTGACAACTGCTAAGTGAAAAAAAACTGAAAACTGCAAACTTTACCTGCCAGAACCATGATCCCAATATCACGGTGCGTTCCAATGTAAGAGGACGAGTCTCCAATGATTGCATTGCACCCTGAACACTGGAATACAATAAGGTCCGAATTCCTTGCTCCTCCTGAGGTTTGTTGCGAAGTGCTGGCAGTGCTCTCACTATCCATGTTGACCACGTGCTTGAAACTACTGCGACAGTCCCGCTTTCCTCTGAATGTTGACTGCTCAATGACTGTTTCGAATTTTTGATCAGATGAATAATAGTAAAACTGTGCTTATGAACAAAACACTAACTTTTTTCCATTAATGTAATATAATTTTATCATCATATTGGTATGTTAGATTGAACATTTGAATCAGTCCAAATAGAAATATTTAATCGAGACTAAAATTCTAACGAAATATTTGGAAAATGTTCCGGATGTGCGCAGTGTAAAATGCGTACTTGTATGTGGCCAGTTTGTTGACGGAAGAAGTGACGCTACACCTGACACGTTTTTGACGGAGGGCGTACAAAGTAGGCTAGGATTTTTTGTTAAAGGTGAATGATGTACTATCACATATTCATTGAGTCAATATACCTTCTGTTCATACGTTATTGTCGTTAGTGAAACCTTAGTTTAATCGTTAATTTTAGTTTTAGAGCGCATATATCAGCGAGTCTACTTGGCGCTCAGTGTGAAAATGAAATATTGAATGGAGCTTCAGAAACTGCACTTTTAGAACTTTCATCTGTCACGTTAGATCTGATTTTCACACCAACAAATTAGCCTAACACGACCGCTTTGTTTCCGTATTGGCAGGTTTAAAGGTTGGTGTGTGAGATATGAGTTGATAGTACCACCTGCAGGCATGGTTGTCCAGAGTTAACACTGGTAAAAACACAAACCTTTCAACCCTTTCAACAATGACAGTTGACAGAGAGGGAGATTTCCTAGCGCGCCCTATGGCTCCCACAAAAATGTTTCTTTTCCTTTCAAAAACTTTTTGTGAAATTTTAATTTTTTTCACATATTGGCATTTTTAAGGTGTGATTATAAACTTCCATGGGCTTGAAGACCATTGTAAGTCACATTTTCTGAGTATTCATGATACTTCTGTTATATCATTTTAAAAAATGGGGGTCATTATGCTGTTAAGCATTACGTAATATTACATGAAAATCGAAGAAAATCCTATTTTGGGCACTTCCGCCATTATGATCACTGAAGGAAAACCATGTTACCTATGATTCTCATACCGAAAAGATTCATGGGACTGAAATGTAGCTTGAGTTGTAAAAGCAGTATGAATGCATCCTTTTTTCTGGAAGCTCTTCAGTTCTTTGTGAAATTTTTATTTTTCACATATTGGCATGTTCACTGTGGGACTCCCATGGGCATAAAGCAGTATGGTACCGGTATGTACCGGTACGTTTTCTCATTGTCAGCATTATTTATAGTAGATAATTAAAATTTTGTGGTGATTATGTTGTTAATCATTATATAATATTGCATCAAATTGTCAAAAAACCTATTTTGTGCACTGTTGCCACAAATGCTATGAAAAGGAAACTGTATTTTGTAACTTAAAAGAATGATTTTTAGGATTGACACAGCTCGAATTAGAAAACAAGCTTGATTGTATTATTAGTTTTCTTGAATGAAAGATTTTTTGTTTTTTTTTTTTTTGAAATATTCGTTTTTTCTATATCTAGCATTTTGAAAGTGTGAACTTGAACCTTGATGGGCCTGAAGCTGCATGCTAGTTACCCATTTTACTTACATCCATATTACCTGTTTTGCATGATTAAAGTTTGGTGTTAACTTTACTGTTAAGTGTAATGTATGGCCGCATTCAGAACAGTCGACTTACTAGTCCCAAGGTCAAATATGGCCGACCCACTTGAATACTTCCCACAGGGTATCTATTCAGTGTCTGTTAGAGGATTAGATGGCAAGTTTTTTTAGTAGGTTGCTGTATTTTACCTGCAGATTAGTACATAACATATATACATTAACTGTAACAGTTTCAATTTACAATTAGGTATGCCTTTTTTTATCATTCCAGATGCAACCAACCATGGACATGTAACAAACATTGACTCTCATTGCTGTTTTCTCCTCCAACAGTGAAGATTTTCTCTTTTTAACTGTAGAGGTAGTGGGGGAAACAGCAATGATAAAAGACTTTGCTGAAANATAACATATATACATTAACTGTAACAGTTTCAATTTACAATTAGGTATGCCTTTTTTTATCATTCCAGATGCAACCAACCATGGACATGTAACAAACATTGACTCTCATTGCTGTTTTCTCCTCCAACAGTGAAGATTTCCTCTTTTTAACTGTAGAGGTAGTGGGGGAAACAGCAATGATAAAAGACTTTGCTGAAAACATCGTCCACTTATCCACTGAAGATGGCATCTCAACTGAACTGCCCATGACAATTATAGCAACTGTAAGAGACAGAATAATCATCAAAGCAGGTAAAGATGGTGATTGTTTCTATTTTAGAGACCATTCCCAGACCCTGTCGTACTAAATGTGGATCCGTCTATCTCCACAGAGATTCTCACTAAATTACAATCAACTTATAAGCAGCTTAGATGTCTGTCATACCTACTGAAGCTGCTAGGGGGTAATTAATTATCGTTTAGCATGTAGCTTCAGTAGGCGTGTCAGACATCTAAACTGCTTAAGCTGAAAGCAATTTAGCAAGAACCCCCTCAGAGATGGATCAATCTTGTTAGATAGATCTAGGTATGGGAACCCAGTCATAGACTCTGATCATGGCCAACCATATTACAGTTTGAACACAATTCTCAAAATAATCAACTACTAGTTCTTTATATTTACTTATACAAAGTAAATTAAAGCAATTACTCTACTTCTTCTTTTGGAATGCAGGTAAACTTGCTAATAACATTTTACTGCAAGTTTTTATTACTATGTAATAATTTTTAAAACACTCACATGGATGTCCACTTCTGTCCCAAATGTCTTATAGCACACCCTCAGAAAACAATGTTTTCTCAGTATATATATAATGACTAAATGTTCAGTAATGCATCTGATTGTAACTTATATTTTTTATAATATACAGAATTCTCAAGTGCTGTTAAAGAAGCGACAGAAATGTCCAGCAAAATGCCTTAATGGTAAGTTTTCCTATATTTCCTATCCTTTTATAAGCATAACTATCACATTACATAAAACTGAATCTTTTCAGTTTTATTTTACGATTTCAGTTTAATCCAATAAAAATTCAGCAAATTTTTGTTGAATAAAGGCAACTGTTTTGTTAATTTCATTGCAAGCTTAAACTGTTAATTTGTAGTTCAATAATGATACTGAAATGTTGCATGTTAAAATGGATTTTGTATAGAATGATATTATAGAAATAACTGTAACACATATCACAAAATGTGGTAAGATTTCACCCTTGGGCTTGTCATTTACTTTTTTCACTCAGTTTCTATTAAATGCAACCAGGCCTGGTGGTTTGGTTGCTGTACCAGATTTTAAAAAATCATGGGGGAAGGAAGGGGGGGCTTACCAAGAAAACAATGAAATACTTTTTATTTTCTAACTGATACTCCAGATTCAAAAAGAATTTTTAATAAAATTATGCAAGTTTCACTGCCATATAACGAACCATAAAACTTGCAATAAAATATTACAGATGTGATAAGTTGCATAGTCAGACAACTGCTGGTCAAGATTTGGTTGCCTGTGAGGAAAAAGTGGTTGCAAAACGCAACCACGCAACCCTTAATGTCAAGCCCTGCACCCTTAGGTTATTCATCTTACATATTCAATACAAGTTTATGAAGAATATAGGTAAAAACTGCTTTGACTGACAGTGATATGTTTTTTCTATCAGAACAGGGCTGAGGGAGAGTGTAATTGCTGTGAGATGCAGAAGAACCTAGGATGGATAAAGTCAAGAGCCAAGCACTGCCCGCCAATGAAAATTGCTGTGAAAGACCAGTTTAACCATTAAATTATGATGTAATTCTGATATAGCACATTCCATAATCTTTTCAATGCATCTTATAAATCAGGAGCTTAACATTAAAATAATTGCAAGAGGATTTGTAAAGAAGGATAATAACCAAACAAAGGAGCAGATTTAACTTCATATTTGTACAGTTGTAATTTAACTGAAGTTGCACTCCTTAAACATGTTACAATTTAGGCACATGTTAGACACCAAATTGGCAGTTCATGGACTGCAGTTAATTTGCATATACAGGTGTGACAGTAACAAGTATCTAATGCTGGGAAATATAATTTCAGATGCACCATACAGTTGCAGAAGAATGGACATCTTCAGGAAGCAACATAAGCGTTCCTTCATGACATAGGTTATAAAACCTAGGTGCAAAACCTTAGGTACCAAAAAAACTTGTGTGGGGAGGTTAAGAATATTTTATGACTTCCTGTATGTCCACGGCTCTCAGCAAGACAATGACTGTTAATATGCCAAGCTTAACAATGCTGTGACTAATAAGTTGAAGAAAGAAACCTGCGAAAATATGACCAAGAAGTAAGTTAATTAGTACCACCAGCGTGNTTCTACCAATAGCTCTATCCACGTGGATCCGTAGTGAAGCAATGGCCTGTGTTTCAATTACCTCCTCTGCCTCAGGTTGATCCTCTTTTCCAAGAAATGCTGGAATATTCAATTTCACACCAAGAGGATCCGGCAAAGTTTGAAATGCGAATCCCTTGTCACCCATCACAGCATCCCCAGCTTGAAGCTCTCGCCTCAACAGGTCACTCCTTTCAGTGATTTCTCTGTCAGAGATGTTTCCAGTAAATAATTCTGAAACAAATACAATGGCACCCTGTGGTGGTGCTATGTCGATCAGTCCCTTCAATATACACTGTATTTGTACCTTTGTGGTTGCTGTATATATATATGTCTGAGACTGCAGACGCAAGAAAGATGGCATTGCAACTTTGATTTCTGAACAATCAATTATTACCCTGGTATCTGGATATTTGACTTTAAACTCTGCTGGCATGCTCTTGTTTACACTTTCCTTTGATGGCCACAGCTTGATGGAATGTAGCCTTAAATAAAGATAATTTGTCCACACAATGATCATGGAAGATACAGTGGACTGAGAAATCTGAAACCTTTATGCCAAGTCTGTCTCAAAAAGACCTGATCTTACCCTATATAAAAAAGAAAAAATTCATCTTCAGGAGTTAACCTTCTTT